AGTGAGGGATTTTATGAAGGAAGAGCTGTGTCTTACCAGCTTCCTGTCTTTCCTCCTGTCTTTTCTTCTCAGCCACCAACATCTAATATGGATTTGCATGAAATTTTGTATGTGTTTCAGAAAACTAAAAATATATAAATACATTTATTTTGGAACTTAGAATGAATTGTAAAAATCCCCGTTACTTCTTCAGATTTTTGGATTGTAGTGTCTACTCCTTTTTCTACAACAGCAAGTACAAGTTTCATGGAAGCTGCTGCGTCATGAACACAATTGTGAGCAGCATCGGGCATTCTCAGTTCTTGACCCAAAACAGCCTGTAGAAACAAAAATACACATATTCAGGATTCGAAATCTCAATGAGCAGAGAATAATAAAATATTAGCATGCTTGCCTTGCATAGATTATTCAAAGAAGGTCTATGAGTCTTTGGTGCATTCTCAAACTCAAATACAAATGAAGTATCTATTACTCTCGCATGATCTATCCTCAACACTGTGATCAAAGTAACTCGTAAGCACAATCGAAATTAATAATATCTTAACAAAATATAAAGAAACTTTGGAGCTTTATGCTTACCTTTAAGATCATTATGCAAACCGTGACCTACCAAAATAGTTCCCTGAGAAAGAAACCTCCGCAATTTTTTCTGAATATCTGTTACAGATAGAGTAGCTCTCTCAAGATCCTCAGCAGTAACTCCAGTAATGTCAGTCTTATAGTTAAAAACCGTTTTGTCCGGTTTCACAAACTTGTCAAGAACCACCTAATTGATGAACATCAGATAAAAAAAAACAACACGGTTACAAAGCCCGATAACAGAGTATTGAGATTGAATGCTCTAAAGCTACAGACCTTTAAGTCGCGGTCCACAGCGCCAACTCTAACTACAGCCTCGGTCCCATCATCACAGGTAACCATCTCACAATCAATAGCAAGCATTCTAGTTGATTTCATCACTTTGGACTTCTTCTTTCCAAGTTCAGTTACAAACCAATCCTGTTTAGCAATACAGAATAAGTAAATGATAATATCATATGCAGGAGAAGCTAATACCAATTTGATAGAAACACAAACCTCAGCGTAGGAAGGAAACAAATAGTTTGTAGGGTACTGGAAATGCGTAATAGTCAATCGAACTAGCCTCTGCACTGCCAACAGCATAGTTATGAACCAATTGCTTAAAACAACCAAAACCTTATAATTAGATATCCTCAAAAATGTTCTCCACCTGCTCAGGAGTCTCTTTATCCGGAGTTTCTTGCTTGAATTTCTCAATTAGTTCACGATTAGCACCGCATTGCATAACCCTAGCTATTAGCTGAGACCAATAATCAAATGGTAAGAACTAATAATTAAGTAATCCAAATAAGATACAAATATCTACCAGCAATGTGTGAGTGTTACCTGCAAATCTTCTTTCTTTTTGAAGGTCAAAAGAAAAGCAACCAAAACATCATTGGAACGTCTCGAAGGATCACTCAAACTCGATCCGAATTTTTTGTCGTAAACATTTAGAAACTCCTTCCAACCTCCGTTTTCGCCTTCTAAACCACGTTTCTGAACTAGCTTCACCAAGTCTACTAGCACCTAAAGTCAGAGAATGAGATTTTTAGCTGAGAAAATATCTAGTGTGGTATGATAACGGGAGAGACTTACTTTTTTCTCAGCAGTAGCTAGTTTATGCTCCATTACCAAGAGTTTTAACGGACGGTGGCTCTGTGTGTTTGAAAGAGGCGGCGAGATGGAGAAAGGAGAGTTGGGGAAGACGGAGAATCTAAATTTAGGGTTTTATTCTGTTTGTTTATTTTTTTTATTTTTCTTGCTTATGTTTTAATTACTGTTTTGTCCAATTCGATGTTACTTTGTTTGAAATTACTTGTTTTAGTTCAGGTTTTAATTTTTATTTTATCTAATGAAATAAATTATTTGAGTTTATAGCAATTTTATTGTGAACTAGGCCCCTGTGAGAAGTCTGTAATGAATCATCATCATCAACCGGTTTAGATTTTTGTTTGTCCCTGGAACAGCTCAAATTATTTACTGTTAATGTCAGTGTTCTAAAAAGCGGTCTACGCGGTCGCCTAGGCCCCGACTAGGCGCTAAGCTCTCATACGACGCTTAGATAACCGCCTTAACCGCTTAAAATTACATAGAATTTGTTTAATTTATTTTTTTAATTTTTAATTAAATTTTATTTATATATATATATAATTATAAATATTCATATATTGTTTAATATAAATAAATAATTTATCTAATTTTTGTTTATGATTTCATATTTTTAGTTTTTTTTAAAAAATATTTTTATATATAATATCATACTTATAATGTTTTATGTTATACACGTCTAAATCGCCTAAAAATCTCCTAGACCCCGATTAGGCGTTTTAGGCGCTAGGCGCTGGGTCACCGCCCGCTTAGCGCCTAGCGCTTTCTTGAACATTGGTTAATGTTGTTAATTTAGTATCTTAGCATTATTTCTGTAAATTTGTCATTAAAAAACTAAGGAAATTATCCTACAAGCTTTAAAAGAAATTTTCAAATAATGGGCTTTATTATTGGGCTAACGTAAGAAAAAGATCAACACCGACATAACTCACGTTTCCTTTCTCTAAATGTTGAAAACCAAAGAGTCCCATATCGACTATGGGAAGAATCAGTTGTTAGTATATTCTTCTATAAATAATGAGTACCCCAGCGAACAATATTAACTTACGGTTCATTGGGCCTTTGATTAGTTTCAGGCCAGAGTCCATTAAAACCGAAAATATTCGGTACAGTCTATTCTTTTCTTTTTTTTCAACGGTTTTCAACTCTTTTCTTTTCTGTTTTTTTTTTTTTTTTTTTTTTAATTTTGTTTCGATTTTTTTTTTAGTTTTTTCGAATACTAAATTAACATTACGTTGCGAAAACTAACTGGATTTTGGATCCCGTCATTTAACCGTGATCGTTAGCGATTCCACAAATCCAACATGTTTTCTCATTTTAATGTAAATTTAGCATTTATTTTTACTTTTTTTTTCTTTAAATATTTTCAACTCCTTTCTTTTTTTTTCTAAAGTTTGTTTTCTTCATTTTTTTTAACTTTTTAAAAATACTAAATTAACATTACGGTGTGAAAACTAACCGGATTTTGGATCCCGTCATTTAACCGTGATCGTTAGCGATTCCACAAATCCAACATGTTTTCTCATTTTAATGTAAATTTAGCATTTTTTTTTTACTTTTTTTTTCTTTAAATATTTTCAACTCCTTTCTTTTTTTTCTAAAGTTTGTTTTCTTCATTTTTTTTTAACTTTTTAAAAATACTAAATTAACATTACGGTGTGAAAACTAACCGGATTTTGGATCCCGTCATTTAACCGTGATCGTTAGCGATTCCACAAATCCAACATGTTTTCTCATTTTAATGTAAATTTAGCATTTTTTTTTACTTTTTTTTCTTTAAATATTTTCAACTCCTTTCTTTTTTTTTTCTAAAGTTTGTTTTCTTCATTTTTTTTTAACTTTTTAAAAATACTAAATTAACATTACGGTGTGAAAACTAACCGGATTTTGGATCCCGCCATTTAATCGTGGTCGTTAGCGATTCCACAAATCCAACATGTTTTCACATCTTTTAAATTTAGTATTTATTATTTACTTTTGTTTTCTTTAAAAGTTTTCAACTCTTTTCTTCTTTTTTTAAAAAAGTTTTTTTCCTTCATTTTTTAAGTTTTTATAAATACTAAATTAACATGACATTGTGAAAAATAACCGGATTTTGGATCCCGCCATTTAACCGTGGTCGTTAGCGATTTCACAAATCCAACATGTTTTCACATCTTAATGTAAATTTAGCATTTATTTTTTACTTTTTTTTTTCATCAAAACTTTTCAACTCTTTATTTTTTTAAGTTTTTACAAATACTAAATTAATATTACGTTGTAAAAACTAACCGAATTTTGGATCCCGTCATTTAACCGTGATCATTAGTGATTCCAAAAATCCAACTTGTTTTCACATCTTATGTAAATTTAACATTTATAACTCTTTCTTTTTTTCTCAAATTTTTTTGTTTTGATTTTTTTCTTTGCATTTTTAATGTTTTTTTTTTACAAATACTAAATGAACATAACAATGTTGAAATGCATATACTATATGTTTATATTGTTTAGTTTAATTGAAATACAACGCATTTAATATTAAAAAATATCTATATAGAAGTTTTCTTATTCAAAAATTTGAGATACTTAATTTTGGTAAGTTTAGTTAACAAAAATAAGTAGTGTTTGGTAAGATTTGATAGTATATTTTTTTCTTGTCAACATTGATAGTAGAATTAAATAAATAAATAAAAAAAGATAAGAATAATTGTGAGTTTGACACATAAGCACTAAAAATCTCTTTTAATATACAGTGGATAGATGTACAACAAATGTTTTATAAACAGAATTATTTATAATTATTTATTTATTATTTAGGAATGACTCTTTTGAGCTTTAGGATGTTAAAAAAAAACAGAATTATTTATAAGTTATATATATATAAACAGATATATATATATACTTTTAAAAAGAAACAAAGCATATATAGACAAAATTAAAAATATCAAATTTGTAATAATAAAGGAAATAAATATATCAAAATTTGGTAACTATAGATTTTATAAAAAAAAATTATGTGTGTTTGGTAAGTGGTTTAAGGAAAATGAAAATAAGAAAAATTGTGTTTCGCATATGTGATAGTAAAATTAAAAATATATATAATATAATGTTGAGAAAAATTGTGTGCTTACCATATCAGTATCGAAAAAAAACTCGTTTGAAACCAAGAGTTGAAACCAAGAGTGTATGACCTAGTTGCTTGTTTGAAAGGATAAAATATTCGTCATGTCAATGTAAAAGATCGAATTCCTTTATTTACAATTCGTCATGGACCGTTTTAACTTGCCTTCAAAACTTCACCATCACCAACATAACTTATCCAGGTTACTTCAGTCAAATCTGACGACTCATTCACATCAATGGACTAACATTGAGATTCCAAAGAGAGAAAACAAATAAATCCGAATCCCAAATCAATAGTCAATACTCAATACAATAAATGTTCGTCCTTGGACTGACTTTTCTAATCGACAAGTCTTGCACACATGAAAATGAAAGAGGATTACAAATAAAGACAGAAATTTCACATAAACAAAGATTCTTTTTGACAATTACCGTTTTTATAGTTATAGCTCAGCAGAACTACTAGCATTATCATTATGAGACCATCTTCTGAATGTGCAAGTTACCAAGTTTCTTCCAGCAAGAAACCCTAACTTTGACCTAATCGTTGCTAATCTACTTCCTCCATTGTTGCCACCACTATTACCTGAACCAATCTCTGCCACAATTCCACCTGCTTGAACCACCCTCGGCTCCTCGACAACGGTTTCAACCTCACCATCCACCACCACCACCGCTTCGGTTTCATCACTATCCATGCTCACCACAAGTGTCCTCCTTTGTTCACGCAGCCAATCTCCAATCTCTCCAGTTACCACTTTACATTTCTTCACCTTCAATTTCACCAGATTAGGACAACCCACAGCGAGCGCCTCAATCCCTCGATCCGAAACAGGACATCCTTTGATACAAAATTTCCTCAATGCTCCACATTTCCTAGCGATGCAAGCGATCTCTGTATCGCCTATTGTTCCACTTCCACAAAGTGCTAATCGTTCAAGCTTCTCACAGTTTGAAGCAATGGCTGCTAAACTCATATGAGTTGCATTAACACCAATCAGAACAAGTTCTTGTAAGTTTAAGCAGTGTTTAGCAACAGAGATTAGACCTTCATCACCAATCCTATTAGTCCTCCAACCATCAATATGAAGTTTCCTCAGCAGCTTACATCTCTCAGCTACATTAATCAGACCATAGTTTGAGCATTCTGGAGTTTTTACTATATGCAATGTCTCTACATTTGAGCATTTAGATATCGCAGATAGCCCAATGTCACTCACTTGGAGTCTCTCTAGGTGAATTTCACTTAAAGAACTCTTACCATCTCCAATCATCTGAAGAACTCTATCCCAATCACCCAAACAACGAATAATTTTAAGTGTTTTCAGAGTTCTTGTAGTAGCAACCAATGGTTCAAATACCTGGCCATTAACGAGCTCCTTCAAGCAAATCGACCTGAGCGAAGAAGATGAACCAGCAGGCAGGTGAATCAACTCGGCTGCTTCATGAATTCCTCGAAGTCGCTTCACCGACAATTCCTCCAGAAGCTTACAATGTTCGAGCATCGCGTTCACGCCTTTAGCTCCAAAATTGCAAGATCCAACAGATAGCTTCTTTAGATTTTTACAATTCCGAGCAAACTCTTCCATTCCCAGATCCGTAATCTCGCGACAACCACGAAGCTTAACACGAGTCAGATTCAAACAACGAACAGAGATCATAGCCAAAGCTTCATCGCTCAAGCTAACAGACTTCCGATCACATCGGAGAGCAAGCTTCGTCACCGAATCGAATCGATTGAACATAGAAGTTAGGAAAGGGAAGATCTCATCCTTAGCATCTAGAGATAACCGATGACGATTCTGACCGTCGACGTACAACCACCGTTTACAAACAAGAGAGCATCGCTTCCGATCTCCAGCTCCAAGAAACTGAAACACATGAGCTAAACACTCATCCGGCAGATCTCCGGTGAAATCCCGATCTCTAACCGCCACAACATTTCCCAAAGCCATCGATTCTCCTCCAGAAACAATCACCGGAGACCATAACCTCAAATCAATCTCTCGTCCGTTCGATTCCGCCGTAGACGACGGCGCTTGGCCCATCACCACCGAATGGTTTCGTTTTCCTCCTTTCTCTTCCTCAGCAATTTTTTTTTTAATTTCCCTTTTATTTATTTTTGTTGTGAGATTTTTTTGTTTGAGGAATTATAAAGTACACACAGTAACGGCTCATCCGGTCAATAAGGGGACACGTGTCTTAATCGTAGTCGACACGCTCGACCCAACTCACACTCCACGCGCTTTATTTAATTCATCCTCAACCGTCAGATAAAAAAAATAAGTGTTGAGCTAATCCTGATCGTTGATTACTTCCACCTTTTTAAACTTTTTGTTTTTGCTTTCTTTTTTATAACCTCTCGTCACGCTCTTCTTCTGCGACCATCATTACTTCTCGTGTTCAACGGTCAAACTTCATGTTCTCAAGACACTACTACTGAACTTTTGTTTTTGTATGCTAATGACTATTCAATTATTTTATACTATTAATTGTTTTTCTTAGATTGAAATTTTTGAAAAAAAATGTCAATTACGTTGAGACAGATATAAATTAATACCCCACCAGTTGAGAGAATCTACGCATTACGCATATGCTTGGTTTTTAATCTGTTTTTTGGTTCTCGAATGGTTGATGACATAATTTAATTTTCAGTTAATTATTTGAAGATTCGGATGATATATATTGATGAAACATTAATGCAAGCTTGCCTACCAATATGATAATGTAGGGGGGAAAATAGCATCTTCGTAATAGACATTTTCATTGGACCGCCTTGTCTATCAAATTAAAATTATTAACGCAATATCTTAGAAGCCCATATTAGCAAGATATGTTTGGATCCAGTTATTGATAAAGCCCATATTTAAGTTTGATGGGCCAAAACGTATAAATCAAAAAAAAGAAAAAAAAAGAAAAAAAACTGGATTAGGTTTTTGATTTAAATAGAAAAAATTTTAATAATATGTGGATTTATGTGATAATTATTAATTCAGGGAAGTTTGTTAAAGTATAAGGATAATTAATATCCTGAAAACTCTGAACAATGATTGGTGAACGTCAAAAGTTGGTGTTACTTTAATATATCGGCACATTGCATTAACATTACGACAGTATTATTACAAAAACTTAAAAAAGAATGTGCCTCATTTAAATGGGGGTTTGTCTCTTTTTCTCCAACCAAAAACACAATGATAATGCTTAAACCAAACAGTACAACTCTTTTCATGTTTGACTCCAGATCTTATGATCAATTCCTAATCCATGTTTTGATATTATGTCAAACTATCTGGTTCTCGAGGTTACAAATTTCTTGAACTCTCCCTCTGGACTTTTTATTTTATTTTGTTTCTAACCATATTTTCTGTAACCATCATATCTCCCATAGTGCTTTTTTTACATGCCACTATCAATTTTACTTACAAAAGTTACTGGTTTACAACGGCGACCATCGTTTGAATTCGGATAAAGATAAAGAACGAAATGCAGAGAGGTGGGGACAAATTACAAGAAGGAAATGAAAATAAGATGTGAAAGGTGGAAATGAGAAGTCGCTATTAAACTTTGTAGTAATCCCTCTCAGATTCAGACTTCATTTCGCTTGTTACCAATGGCTTGTTTCACATCTTTCCCTCTCGTGATTTACTTATATGATTATATCTTATCTTTATATATGTGTCTGGATCATGCATTAAATACAAATAACATCCAAAAAAACTTGTGTATTTCTCTTTCTTTTCCAATAACATGTACGCGTATAGTGGTAATACTCAGATTCAAACATGAACATGACTATACCAAATTAGACCACTAATCACATTTCTTGATAAACAATCGTTAGTAATACGCACATTTTTGTCTGAATCATATCAAAGATCATGGTACAATAATCGTAAAACTAGAAGTGATATATTGTTTGTAACTATTTTCTGTATATCACATTATGGTACAATTGTAAAATAGAAGTTATATATTGTTTGTAAGTATAACACGTTAACGATCTGTTCTTTCTTTTGTTCCACTTCCTTCATTTCATTTGTTGTTTTGTTCTATCCTTCATTTTTGTATTGTAACCAGGCTCAAAAGAAGGTATTTTGACCACTACTGTTGTTGTTAAGTTTAAAACATCCTTTTTGGATAATTTAGTTTTTATTGTAAAGTCAAGAAAAATATATATGTTTAATTAATCTGCTAATCGCCTTTTTTTTTTTTTGCCTCGAATCAGAATTTTAACATATAAAGAAGCAGGTTCGAATTAAATAATCACTCTTTTAAAGAGATCTTTATAGAATACATAAAAAAAATCAAACTATTTATAGGAAAAATAAATAGACAATTTTTATTTCTTTTTGCTTTCAATTTATGTACATTGGACCACAGAGAATCTGCAAAGCTATGTATCAAGAAAGACGTGACTATAATAAATACCACGAACAATAAATAACTAGATTCATATTACGAATCCTTTTAAGTATTCCCCCAAAAAAAACTAGTCTTAAATACGTGTATTGCACATAAAAAATTCATCCCGTCTTTAGAAATCCTTTTTTGTTTGCTAAATGTTTAAGAATAACAAATTCTTTTAACAAAATGATTCAAAGTAAAATATGATCTTTTAAGTAAAAGAAAAATTAATGGTTAGATCTGTTTTGTTGTAATCAATGATAAAAATCCAAGATGACAAAAAAAAAAAAAATGATAAAAATCCAAAAAAAAAAAATCAAGAATGAGTTAATCAATCCGCAACACAAAGGAGCGCAATATCACGATCCGATCAAGACATATGTTAGCCTCCATCGTACGGACAGGGTTTAAGAGCGTTTATACACGCGCGATAATTCGCGTGGGTTAAGATACATAAATACTCTAGAGGCTGTTACTAATTAATTCGTTAATTATAATAATTTTCTCCCGCGAAAACATCCGAATATTAAAAAAAAATAGAGAAATAAAACGAAATGAAAAGAAAAAAAAAAAAGACAAGCGTGAGATAATAAAACAAACCCTTGGCTTTCTCTTAGTCTTAGCAATAGTCCGGTCTCTTGTTCCTTTTTCTTCTTTCTTCACTGTAGAATCCGTCGACAAAAACTAGCTTCAATGGCATAATGAGCATTGAAATCTGCAATTTCTTCTTCACGGAAGAAGAAGAAGATGGCTTTGGAGAAAGAAGAAGATGCGTCACAAAACGCACCGTTTTGTGTCCTTGATGGGCTCTATTGTGAGGAAGAAACCGGGTTTGTGGAAGAAGAAGATCTTGATGACGGAGATTTAGATTTTCTCGAGAAATCTGATGAGAGTGTCGTAAAGTTTCAGTTTTTACCTCTTTTGGATATGTTTTTATGGGATGACGATGAGCTTATGAGTCTGATTTCAAAGGAAAACGAAACGAATCCATGTTTTGGGGAAGAAATCTTAGATGGGTTTTTGGTTTCTTGTAGAAAAGAGGCTTTAGATTGGGTTTTTAGGGTTAAATCTCATTACGGGTTCTCTTCTTTGACGGCTATTCTTGCTGTGAACTACTTCGATAGGTTTATGACAAGTATAAAGCTTCAGACTGATAAGCCATGGATGTCTCAGCTTGTAGCTGTGGCTTCTTTGTCTTTAGCTGCTAAAGTTGAAGAGATTCAAGTTCCATTACTCCTAGACCTCCAAGTTAGTTTCTTTCGTCTCTTATAATGTGGCTGCTTTAGTGTTTGCCGAGTTTTGATGGAGTTTCTTTGGTGTGTTTGTGGTTTAAGGTGGAAGAAGCAAGATATGTCTTTGAAGCTAAGACTATACAAAGAATGGAGCTTTTGATTCTTTCTACTCTTCAATGGAGAATGCACCCTGTGACTCCAATCTCTTTCTTTGATCACATTATCCGGCGATTTGGTTCTAAATGGCACCAGCAATTGGACTTCTTTAGGAAGTGTGAGCGTCTTCTGATCTCTGTTATTGCTGGTGAGGTTTCCTTTTTAAAACCCTTTTTGATGTTTTTGTTTGGATTTTTGTTGCTAAATTCTGAATCTTGGTTGCAGATATGAGGTTTATGAGTTACTTCCCTTCTGTCTTAGCTACTGCAATAATGTTCTTTGTCATCGAGGAATTGAAACCATGTGATGAAGTTGAATACCAATCTCAAATAATGACTTTACTCAAAGTTAATCAGGTCTGTTGCTTAAAAAGACTTTGTTATTAGTCAGAATTGTTAAAGATCAGAATTTGATTAAGTATTGACTTCACAGGAGAAAGTAAATGAATGCTATGAACTATTACTGGAGCACAATCCAAGCAAGAAGAGGATGATGAATTTGCTCGATCAGGACAGCCCAAGTGGTGTGTTAGACTTTGACGACAGCTCAAATAGCTCCTGGAATGTCTCTACTGCTTCAATGTCCTCATCATCTTCATTTCCAGAGCCTCTGCTCAAGAGAAGGAGAGTGCAGGAGCAGCAAATGAGATTGCCTTCAATAAATCGTATGTTTCTCGATGTGCTTAGTAGTCCTCGCTAGTACCTTTCTTTGATCAAATGTGTCAAAACATAAATTCAGTCTCTCTTTTTCGCTTCATTTATCGGCTGTGGCTACAATTTTAAGGCAGAACATTTTGTGATAACTCTAAGCTAATTCTGCCTCTTAAATCATATTATTCATTCATCAGTCATTATCATCTTCACAGTAGATCAACATTAAGAGTTAGTGATTATATTGCAAATTTGTTAGCTGATTATGTCCAAGTAGAATGTTGAAGAGAGAATTCAAAAGTCAAAAAGTAAGGAGTACTACATCGTCCTTGAAATCTCAACAAACACTAGCAATATAGGGATTTAAACTAAGAATTGACTGATATATAAACATCAGTAACAGTAAATACGTAAAAAAAAAGTATCACTCTCTCTATCTCTCCTGATATGTCAATTGTTTGATATGGAGATCTCTTGGACCTGTTTAAATTTTGGTGAGATAAGATTGGAAAAAGAAGAGTGGTTGATATAAATGATAAACCTGAAACATCTGATTTCTTCTGTTGGGTTAGTAAAACATGTGAAAGAAAACCTCAGTTGTACCTTTTGAGCAGACCCAAGCAGAAACAAGAAGAGTGGTTGGTTTTTTCCATAATTTAATTTCTTTTTGTAAATAAATAATCTCTTTAATTTTTGGGGTAATTTTCAATTTTGATTTGAAAGGAAAGGATTTTGAGACCAGACAAAGGGTGGTTCAAGTACTTGTCTTGTTTTTATCCTTGAAGATGAAAAAAATCTCGTGGACATATATGTATGCAAGTATGTAACACACTCCTCCTATGACTTGAATTTACTGTCTCATGTCTTGTCAAAGACAAAGACAATAAATATGTTATTAGCTTTTAAGCACCATCTGTGAATAACCCATTGGGCATTCATCAGAATTTCAGACACATAAATATCTATGGATTCTGACATGTATATGAATTATTGTGATGGTTTTATTGGAATATGAGATTTTAAGAAGCTTTCTTGGGTTCTTAAGTATTACTACTACTGAATAATCCAATCAAACCGGGCCTTGTGGCCTAATGGTAAAAAGGTCACAGCTGTGACTTCCGCCACCAGGATTCGAAGCACGGCTATTGGCAGGTTTACATAGGGAAATTATCAGCCTCGTGTGATTAGTCTTTGGGTCTAGAAAACCTTTGGGAAATCCGCGGTTATTCAAAAAAAAAAAAAATAATAATCCAATCAAGACCTTCCTATAGTCTTTGATGATTTAGTTCGTTCTTATTCCAATGATAATTGTTTTTTTTTGTTAAACTGGTTTTAGTATATCGAAATTTTAATTGCTGAAAATAGCGTCTTCAACGGTCGGATCTTTTTTTCTTCTTTTTAGCAGAACAAAAAGAAAAAGCCTGTCAATTTTCTTTTTTAAAAAGCTTTGAATTTGTTTTTTAAAAGTTATACGTACGTTGGTCTTGCCCACCAACATACCACACGGTAAAGCTCACGTTTTTGTACTCCACCGTCTTTATACGTTATATATACTGATTACTATAAAACAATTCAGCACACAAATAGTTAGGAAAATAACAAGACACAGAATAAAATAAACTAGCAAAAAAAAAAAACTTGCGAATTGCGATGGTTATATATTGGTGGTGATGAACAAAAATACAAGGCATTTTGCATACAAAAAAAAAAAAAAGGCTTTATCCAACTTTATTCTTAACAGTGTTATAAGCTCACATTTTATCTTATAGACATTTTTATTTCTTGATATTTGTAACCAATAATAATATTTGGTATAGATTAGAAAAATTAAAAACCGGTGAAAACTAATAACATTTAGGGGTTTCATTATGGGAATACAAAGAGGATTTTTACAGTTGTAAATATGATTATTTATTTTTTATTTTGAGAGATGACTTCTTTGGCAGATTTAAGGGTGGATTCAACGGCAGCAGCAGCTCCGACAAGAACTCCGCCGCTAGTTTTGGGATGAGATTGATGAACCACCTCTACATTTCTTTGCTCTGAGCCTTTCCCCGCCGAAGAACGATGTTCCGTCGTTTCCACCACAACTTTTGATGATCCATCCTCTTGTATTTTTTCAGTCTCCATTTCCTTATAAGTAAAATCAAATAAAAAGATATTACAATTTAATCATTTTCAAAATTATATTACAATTTAATTATTTATATATAACTAAACGAAAAATACCAAGAAGTAAAGAACATGAATTCATCATACCTTCATGGCTTTTAGGTTCATATCTTATAAAACTAAATCGTAACAGTATCTCTTTTTCTAATTGGAGTTAAGGAAAAAAGTAACAAATTAAATTTATAAAAGAAAAGCACAAAATCGTTAATTTGAGTATATGAACGTCCGGTTCTTACGTTTGTCTTTCTATTTTCTCCAAAATATTAATTGGCCAGCCTGAGTGTTAGGAAAAAACCATTATGCATCTAAACTTTTTATTTTTACAATTTTCACACAAGTAATCCAAAATATTAATCCGCCATTACCCACAACTAAACTACTTATGTTCAATTATAATGCACTGTTACTAATCAAGTAAGATGTGAAACTGTAGGGAGCCAAAACATATATTATACCAATAAGGATCACAAAACATCACAACAATGATATTTTCAACAGAGTATTAGTACTATGTTTATAAGAAGGGTCAGGGAATCTTTTTCAAACATAGAGCAAATTCTCTGAGAGAGAATCTTTTTATAAGAGAGTATTATAGTAAGTAGTTAACTCTCATTTCAGCAGGTCAAGAGAGGAGATGAACCACTGCATTTGACATCAGAAGCATCAGAAAGGCGTTGTCTCGGAGAGAGTGTTGTAATCGCTGCAGCATCGACGTCGAGATTCACTATGAGCTTCCTCTTCTGCGATTCTATTACACTGTTCCTTCTCTCTTCTGATCCTTCAGCAATGGGACTCAAAGTCTGTATTGGTTCTGCTGCTGCTCCAACGTCTTCTCCATCTGCTGCGTACAGGATTCTTTTTATGGAACCAACAAGCTGCAGAACAAAAAAAGAGTGATGATGTTTATAAACATTTGTGGAGTTTATGAATTGAGACAGAGAAGAGATTTTGCATACAGGTAAGTGCTCTGTGTCTGGGTTTTGGCAGAGAATCTCTACATCTCTGAGTTTAGAGAAATAGAAATCTCTCTCTTTCTCCAAGCTGTCTATGTAGAGTTTGAGTTCTGTGATCTGTGATAAAAGAAGTGAGTTAGTGAGCTTTTAAGACTTTGGTGATATTTAAGAAATGAGTGTGTTGAGAAGAAACCTTTTCATCATAAGCAGGCACTGGCTTAGATTGTTTAGCTGATGGTTTTGAAGAGTGGTGGTGATTCCCGGTGTTGGAGGACTGTGGTTCATGTTTACGGGTTCCATTTGAAGATGAAGGTCTAGGTGCAGCTGAAGAAGAAGAACTCTTGCCTGATTGTTGTGTAGCTGCTGCAGCTCTCTTGGTTGCTTCTTTACCTCCTTTGCTGGCTTCTCTTCTCTCAAGTGCATGGTAACTACCAATGAAAACCAAATACAAGAGAGCAGTTTCAGAAACGAGTAAATGAATATGTATCATATATCATACAAAACTTCATAAAAACACTATATGAACTAGACTATTGGATTTATCTACTCAGCAGAGCCAGTACACTAGGAACCATGATTCATAGTCAATTTTGGTTTTCTTTGTAACGTGGAAATAGTATCACACAACAATCAGAATCAAGAAGCCAAGTATAAACAACTACTGGAAATGTTTTATATAAACAAAGTTAAAGGCTCTGATAGAAGCAAAACTTACTTATGCTGGCCTCCATTAACAGAATCACAGTACTTCTTCATCCACTGCATAAACTCCAAGTTATCCAATGGCCTTCCCTTAACGAGTTTGCTCACTTCGATGTGCTACACAACCAAATTAACCAGCCAAAGTCAGTTCTATTTATGCCTCCAAGAATCAAAAACAATCAAAAATGAGTTTGCTCACTTCGATGTGCTACACAACCAAATTAACCAGCTAAAGTCAGTTCTATTTATGCCTCCAAGAATCAAAAACACCCAAAAATCGAGAAAAAAAGGAAAATGAATGAAGAAGAAAGAGAACCTTAGTGATCTTGAGCTTATTGAACACATCCTGAAGAACCTTATAGTTCTGAATCATCTCATACTCACTCTTGGCATCAAAGTTAACCTTATGCATCGGAACAGTCCCAGGGTGTACCGAATCCATGAGCTGACAATGAACAGCGCCTGAACAAGCCTATAATTCCATAGATCCGTATTCAGATCCATAACAAACAGATAAGAAATTCATCGAATCCGAATTCAATTTCCAGAACAACAAATCAAAACAGATAAAGAATCCACCGATTCCGTATGAGATCGTAAGATCCAATTCCAAAATCCGAAACGAAATTACTCAATAGAATTACCTCTTCAACTTTGGAGAGATTGAGTTGGAGAGTGGAGTTAATCCAGGCCAGAATCTCCGATCTCCCGACGAAATATGCAGAATCCATCATCCCAATGTTCGTAGCCATCTTCGATTTTCTCAGATTCAACTGTTTCTCTCTCTGGCTCTTTCACGATCTCTCTCAGTCTCTCTCTCTCTCTCTCTCTCTAACGGCTCTTTTGAAATTAGGAGAAGAGAACAAAGATAGAAAATGAAGGAAGAGACGAGAGCGGAGTTTTCAATTTCAAAATGCAAATATCCGAATCTTTACCCGCTCTGCTTATTTCGGATCCGGGTAAGTCTTAATGGATCTATGTAATTACGCTACTTACGAAAGCCCACAAGCCCATCTTCTTTCTTTTAATATCTTTTCAATTAACCAACCCTGCCCAAAATATTATTATAGGAAACAAAGATTGTCACACAGCAGAAAATGAATATGTAACTTAGCCCAGAGATATTATTGTCACTTAAAACCAAATATAAATTCAAAATCAGAAGCCACAAAAGAACATAAAAAACTCGCCTATCAATCTAAACTCTAAGTACACACAGTCAAGTTATTTAAGTCTTTTCTTGGTCTTAATTATTATCATCACTGTTGACTTAAATGAACAGGGAATCTCTCGAGAACTTGTAAAGCCTCTTTGATATTGGGCCTTCTCTGTGGTATTGGAGATGCACAAGCTAGGCCCATTTTCAAACATGCCAACACAGCTTCTTCTTTGCCTTCTAACTCAGCCCGTATAGCAGAGTCCGCCATCCGAATCGCTCGCTCACCGTCATCAATCACAAGCCCATTAACCTGTCCAAGCTCATCAACCACCACGATCTTTCCCGTAAGTAACTCAAGGAGAATAACTCCGAACGAGTACACATCCCATTTCTGATTCGGTTTTATGCTACGAAGAGATTCCGGAGCATTGTAAGGTAACCCGACTGAACTTGGACTTGGGCTTGGACTCGGCCCAAACTCAAGAGATGTTGTGGATCTCTTGCTTCCGAATATGGGAGCCGATCCACCAGCTCTATAACTCATGTCGCCAATCAAAAGCTTCTCAAGTCCGAAATCCGCAACTTTAGGCTCCATATCTAAGCCCAAAAGGATATTACTAGGCTTGAGGTTACCATGCACGTACTTCTTGTCGTGTACGTATGTTAGCCCACGAGCTATACCTTTTGCTATCTTGAGCCGAGCTTCCCAAGGTAAATGACAAGGAGAGGAGCCCACTTTCCCTGCAATTTAAAGAAAACAAAACACAGGCCCGTATATTAGGTGAAATCGAACATGTACACGTTAGCAAATCCCTTACTGTTACTTATCAATACAAAAAGACAAATGTAAAGCAAAGGACTTGCATCTATCAATAACAAAAATACAAAACCTCTATATATGGGGCTCAACAGAGAGATTTCACTGAAACAGAACTGTCACTATCTTGCGCCTGAGATGAGCTTACGATAAGAGAAAAAAATAAAAACAGTTTTTGAGACTTGCCGTTGACCCTCCTCCGATCATTAACTGACATACTTTTTTTAGTTGGAACCAACTCTCTGACTCCGAAACCGACACTTTTCACTCTTCTGCTTATGTTAGCCAACTAGTACATAACCCTACTAACGTAAGCGTGTAATTAAAAGCAGAGGTAACGGGAAAAAAAGGACTTACGGTAACGGGCGTTAGCGAGGCTGCCGTTAGGGACAAAATCGTAAATGACAAGCTTCTCGTCGGCTCCCCAATAGAAACCTCGAATTCGTACCAGGTTTGGATGTATTAACTTAGCCACGGCTCGAACCTGAGCTTCGAAATCTCTAAACCGGTCTAAACCGCATTCAGCTATACGTCGAACCGCCACAGCCGTTCCGTCTTGAAGAACCGCTTTATACATTATGCTCGAACCGGTGGCTCCCAAAATATAAGCTGAAGCTTTGAGAAGCGTTTCGATTTCAAGTTCTTTCTCTGAATCGAGATTTACTAACGTTCCTTTCTTGTCTTGATCGTCTAATCCTGACCGTCGATTTGGTCCGACCGGGTTCTCTTCGTCGGATTCGGATTCCGATGTCTCGGATTCTTCTTCTTCGTCTTCACAGTCACCGTCAACGTAAACGGATTTGCGTAGACAGTACCATTTTGAGACCTTGGAATCTGTTGATGACGTGGACCATTTTGACGTAGCCGTTACGGTCTTCCTTTTTCTCGACTGGTAAATGTAGAAAAACACAATCCCGAGGATAGCTAAACCGGCTAAGTCACCGACAACGATGCCAATGATAAGCCCCGGTTTATGATCCCATTTTGATTTTTGACCGGTTTTGGAGCTAATTGGATGATTGGTCAAGCCAATGGTATTTGGTATAGCAGCTAATGCAGGAGGAGAATTTGGAGTCGGCGATGGAAGTGGAGAGGTTGCTTCACCGTCACGGCAAGGGTGTTTTGCTGGGTCGGATCCGCAGAGACCCGGGTTACCGGAGAAAGCGTTAGATTCTTGGTTATCGAGAACCCGAAAACCAGGGATTTGACCCGTGAGCTGGTTGAATGAGAGATCGACGGTGGCGTTTGCTGGGATTTCATCGGCGAAACCTGATGGAATCTTGCCGGAGATTCTGTTGTACGAAACGTTGAAATAGCGTAAACGATTCCCTCTGAAATGTGACGGCAACGAGCCTTTGATCAAATTTGACGACAGGTCAAGATACTCCGTCGACTTAAAACCTCCCGGAATCTGGCCGGAGAAATAATTGTTCTTCAGTGAAATCACCGTTAAGTTCCGATTCCAACCTAATGTCTTCGGTAACTCGCCGACGAAGGAATTATCGGAGAGATTCAACACTTTGAGGTTCCAAAGCGCGCCAAAACTCGCCGGTAGTTCGCCGGAAATGTGATTATCCGAAAGATCAAGAAATCGAAGCTCCGTCGCGTTGAGAAGCGAAACCGGGAAAGACCCATTGATCGAATTGTTGGAAAGATCAAGTCTTTGAAGTGAATTGAGTGAACCCAAATTTGAAGGAAGTGTACCGGTAAGGTTCGAGCTCGGAAGTGACAGAGCAGTCACGTGCCGGGAAGATTCATCGCACGTGACGCCACGCCAAGAGCAAGGAGTCTCGTCTTCTAATCTCCAGCTCCGTAAAACGGAAAGAGGATCGTCGACGATTGAGTAACGGAAAGAGAGAAGAAGAACACCGTCTGTGTTAAGAGCAAGAGCTGATTGGTCGCAAAAGAGGAAGGACAAAACGGTAATTACAGAAAGATAACGGCGGAGATCGGCGGCGACTGTCGTCATCGTTCTTCAGGCTTACGCATCGATAGAGAACTAAAGGATTGGTTTTTTGAAAAGGCCATGTGATTGTGAGCGATATATCAAAGTGTTTTATCTTTTTATGGAATTCTTCATTTTCGTAAAAAATAATTTTGTAATTAAAAAATTCCATATCCTATGTAAATTGCACGGAATGTGATAACAAAAGTTAACACTATTTTCCTATTCGTAAATTATGCTGACGTCGCTTTGTCGCTTTTCACGTTTATATTCAACGTGGACCCTAATATGGTTCATCATTGTTTACATTGATCTTCAAAGAAACGTAACAGAACCATATATAAATTTGGATGTTTTACATAAATCTTGCTAGATCACAGAAACTATATAAGATATTATTTATATTATTCCTTTTTGATTGTGAAGAAAATTGTGACGTGAGATTACTCATATCGATCATGTGATGTGTGCGAAGAATTGTATCATTAGCCAATTAACTAATGTCTATGGAAACATGATCAGATGGGAGAATAGTATCTTTGCTATAAGACATTCACAAAAAGTTCGAAATTTTTGCAGGTCTCACACTGACTTGGATTTACTTATTATATATGACCGTTTTGTTAGTGTTTTCTCATCACACCTAATGTTTCCCTGATCATAGTACATCTTATAGATATAGGCTTATATATTAATTAAACTAATCTAGTGATTCGTTATAATATTGACTTTATGCGCGAAACACATAAATAAAAACAAGTGTTTCATGAATAACATTACTAGATATCCTTAACAAAATAAATAAATACATAGCATTACTAGATATACCTACTTTCTTCAGAAATAATATTCGTTTCATGATCTAATCTCTGTTTTACAACATATACCAAAAAAAATATCAGAAGATTCTTTTTAATGAACTGCAAGTAGACATTTTAATGTCTTAGTTAAAAGAAGAATTCGATTTGATTAATATTCTTAGAATCTTTTTATATGTAGTTTATTAACATGTATATGGTAATAATCCCAATGGATCACGAGAGTTAGATTGATTCAAAGAGGAAATATCAAAAACACTAAACAGTTATGTGTTCCATCAAAAAGATATAAATGTAGTACTGCATCTACCTAGAGATCAACATCACACGTAAAATAAATGCATGTCAAGATTAATGTACACCGGGTCAAATTGATTAAAATCGGTCCCCGTTTTAATTAAATTTTGTGGTCCTTGTTTCATATTATTTGATTGCCAAATCACAAATTATCTATGTGTATAATACTGTATATTTCACCGGTTTGGAATTTTTTTGTTTTTTACCAATTACCACCATATATGCGGGCGGTCACGGTTTCTCAAACGATTAAGCAATCATGAGATGGACATGGTTTTCGTTAAAGAATTTTCTGCAAACCAATGCAATCACTGGACCAAAACAATGAACCGAGCCGTAGGTAATTGACAAATTTAAACTTTGAAAGTGTATATTACGACTAAACCTAAAACTAAAAAAGAAAAACGACGAAACTCTATTTTTCAACAATATTTCGAATACAATCGTGAAATGAAAATAAATACTGTAAGGTTTTCTACTGTCTTTTATATATAAGATGGTTGTCTTGTGTATACATTATAAAAGTATGGTTAATTAATATCAGAAGATTGAAACCATTTATAACGGTTGCTATTAAAAAGTTCACTAAAATAAAAAAATCCAAGTCTTTCTTCTGCGATGTGTGAAACAATAAAACATTTGAGTGTCGTGTAGTCCAAGTTTCAGACGTTGAGCTTATTAATTACCATATAGTAGTAGTACTACAGTATATAACAACGATTTCATATTGACCACTGTTCAATATTTTGCTATCCTTCAAAATATTTTATATTTTTTAAATTTATTTTGCTATGATTAAATGAATAACAGTATTGATGTTGTGTATGAACAATACCCATTAAATTGACTCGTAGTTGAGTTTGACTGTAAATTGTCAGAGCACATTTACTTATAGTCGAAATTCATGTTACAAACTAGACAAAGGTAGGTTTCGAGATTCAGGTCACAAATTATTTACCTTTTTTTTTTTATATAAATTATTTACCATTTTTGTTTGTTTTATCTTTCTAAACGTAACCATTTAGGTAATTTAGCCTGTAAACTTCAGTACGAATATATACAAACTGTAACAATACATTATTAATTAGAAGATGGCTACTAGTTTGGCGGTGGACAAAGACGGGAGATGCATAAAAAATGGCGTTTTCTACTTACCATTATGCAAAACTCCAAACTTATTATCGTTTTGCAAAAGTTATAAACCAATCCTGAGTTCGACAATTTTTCAAACAGTGATAATATAATAATACAACACTGCGCATTGTCACTTGATCGGTCGGGTGTTTTTGGATATATTATATGATATCTGTTATGACTTTATACATTCTTTCTTTTCCTCCACAAAAATGATGATTTTTTTCCAAAAGAACGACGGTCAAGAAATTTGTTATAATTTCCTAGAGTATTGATTATGCCAAAAATATTTAGATTGTTTGATTCTTTGAAGTGAACACGTCGAAGCCATTTCTGGTAGTAAGCTACTATCTAGTGGCTTTTAACAACGACATATGATTAGAATGATTAAGTGAAATGGGTCGTGATTATTTAATTATATAGTGAGATTTTCAAAAGGCAAAAGCTTAAAACGACCTTTGCTTTGTTAATGATGTGACAGAAATAAAGAGATATTTATTCTTCTTCTTCTTCTTTTACTAATCATATTTATTCCTTTTTTATATAAAGTAATCATATTTATTCTTGGTTTATACTCCCTCCGTTTCATAAAGAGTGTCGTTTTAAGGTTTTATTTTTGTTTTACAAAGAGTGTCGTTTTAGGTTTTCAATGCAAAATTTAATGATTTTTTATGTTTTATGACTATTAGTATTCTGCAGATTGTTTTACTATTGGGCATATTATGTTTAGGTATATAGTTAATAATGTTTTGTTTAGAAAAAACAAAAAATTTAATGTTTTCTTAATCTGTGTGCAAAACTCTAAAATGACACTCTTTGTGAAACAGAGGGAGTACTACAGTATAAATTATAAAAAAAGAAGTAAAAATGATACTAGTTAAATGATACTCCCTCTGTTTCAAAATATATGATGTTTTAGAGATTTTTTTTTGTTTCAAAATATAAAATGTTTTAGGATATTTTACACATTTCTATGCAACCTTTAAATACATTTGATGTGTTATGACCATTTGTATTCTGCAGTCTTTTATATCATTGATTGGATTTTTAAAAATTATATATTAAATAATGGTTTTTAAAATAACAATGAATTTTTTAAAGTGTGTGCTTTTAACTTAAACATCCTATATTTTGAAACAGAGGGAGTACAGTATAAATTATAAAAAAAGAAGTAAAAATGATTAAAAAAAAAAAGAAGTAAAAATTGATATTCATCAATCATCATAATAGTTATTACATTCTGGCGAGTAATAAATTTTGTAACATTTATTATTTAGCTTTTCAAAGAGGTAATGGTCTTGAAGATATATTTTAAAATCCCTTTTTTCCTTTTTTTGGAACCTTTTAGAAAGATATAAAAGGAATTGGGCACAAAATTAAAAGCTCGAAAAGCTTCAAATATGAAAAAGCGAGTGAATAAAAATTAGCAAATCACGTGTAAGAGGATTCGAGGGTTACTAAAAATAAGATAAGATACTTTTATGATGATGTTAATACTAAAAAAATTTTAAGATATTATTCTCATTGGATTGGTTTTGTGCGTCCCTTAACGGGTAAGCAAAAAGTAATGGGAAACCCATCGCCATTGGCATCGCAAATCAAAAAGCTTAATGGGTCAGTCAGTCCATTGGTTGGGCACAAGATTCTGTGTTCTCCTTTTCCAAACTTTGTAATATAGTATGAAATTAGGATGGTTATCTAGTTATCTATCAAGTACACAAATAGATATAGAATTCTTTAAATAATTGGTGAGAAATCAATTTTAATATCACGACAAGCAAGCAGTGAATTATATACAGTACTAATTAACCTTTTTGAGAATTCTTTTCTAGCATTTTGAGAAGATTACTTGAAAACGAATCTACCAATAACAAATTCTGGTTTAACTTGCAGTTTGGCTTTAGATCTAACCGGTTCGACTAAAATGCTCAACGATTACAAAATACAATCACATTAAAAGATTCCTCGTAATCACAATTCTGTATGCTAAAACTTCAAAGAACACAGCATGGAACAGATTAGCTTTTTTTCGCGATATCTTTATGAACACACTATATAGTATATACTATACTCTTCATCTTCGCTTGATAAACCGGGAAGGACTAAACCGGCTAAGATCAACACTGGTGGCTACGCCGTCTACAATAAGCTCAGCCAATGCAGCACCGGTGGCTGGACCATTAAGAATCCCCCAACAACTATGTCCTGTGCCTACATAACAGCCCTTGATTCCTGGAATCTCTCCGATCACAGGAACTCCATCTTCTGTGCTGGGCAAGAAACATGCTTGCTCTGCTTTCACTAGAGCGTTTTCTTCGTTTAGATAGCTCGAGACTGTTTTCGCAACTCTCTTGAGAACCTGGATCGATTCAGGATTGCTTGTGACCTGATCTGGATCATCAGGTACTTCTTCTTGTGATGACATTCCACATATGTACACTTCACCTGTCCAAATAAAAAAACAGCAAACCAAAGCAACCACTTCTCATTTTCCATTACTTGTATCAGAAAACCAGATTAATTAAGCTAGAGTAAAATGGTTTCATTCAACTTCAAATTCACAGAGTCAACAATCATCTCACTCTATGCTTCTCCAGCCAAAGCCTAACAGATCAGAGAGACAACAAAAGCAAACTTCACCATCCAAATAACCAGACTTTTATAGTAATCCTTGGAGATTACAGATTAGAAGCAGCATTTAATAAAATTCTCATTAACCCAAATAGAAGATAACACCAAAAAATGGTTAAAGGCTTAAAATTTTGCTAGTTCAGATAGAAGATCACACGAAAGAACAGACTTTTTTGCAGTAAATCCTTTGATGCTGAGAGAAAATGTTCAAATTTGAGGCTCAAACAGATAGAAAATCACACTAAAGAAGCGACAGAGAGATTTACCTGTGGGACGAGGGTATACTTCAGGGTCCAAAGCTTCACCACCATGAGCAGGACGATAAGTTAGGAATAGGGCATGAGGTGTTATAGCATTTGGTTCCTTGGGTTTCAAGACAATACTATGAGCTTTAATACCATAAACCCTAAAAATCGAAGACAACAACTCAAATTTACTCGACCATGGACCCATCGCCAGAACCACCGCATCAGTGTCTATAACTCTCCCACCTTCAAGCACTACAGAGTCAACTCGTCCTGATTCCACTCTCACCTCTTCCAATTTTCCGATAACAACCTCAACACCGTACTTCTCCGTCGCCGTCGATAACAGCTTCCGAGTGAAAAGCTGTGGATGCACTTGTGCTGTTGTTTGAGTCGTACCAATCGTTGATGGGCTTTTAGCTGGGCCGTTGACCCAATTCGGTAAACCCAAACCGCCGGAACCTGGCGTTGCTTCCGTCACAGTGAGGCTAAGAGTCGTGAGTGGTCTGTACCCGTACGATTCGACGCCGTTTAGCTCCTCGGAGAGTGATCGATGGAGGTTAAAGCTCGCGCGTGCTAAAGGCGCAACAGGACTTCCATCGCACCAATCGAAAGCGAGAAATCCACCAGCTTTACCGGAAGCAGCGCACGCGACGGCTGATTTCTCGACGAGAGTGACGGCGATTCCTTTCTTGGCGAGAAAATAAGCAGTGCAGACGCCGATTACGCCGCCGCCGCATACAACGACCCGCTTTGAGGTTTCTCCATCGATTTGGTTTTTCGCCGCCATTGATTTCGAGCAGATCGTGATTGTTCGTCGGGATAACGTCGGAGGGAATAATAACGATGAGGTCACCGCCATTACCGAGATGAGGTAGATGACTCACCGAGTCCACACGTTTGTTAGAAAACTATTTATTGGGCTTAGTTTCTTTTTGGGCTGATCTTTTTAGGCCCATTTATTCGATCATCACTACTCTCTTGTTATATGTGTTTCCTAAGATATTTAATTTATTGGGTCCGAAATTTTAAACATAGAAACCTTATATATGTGCAGATATTTAAAATAATGTTTGTTATATTGTTCTTATTGAAAATTGTTAAGCATCATATAATAAATAAAGTATGTTGATTTAAAATTAACTATAAGTCATCGTGTGTAATATAAGTCCATAATATAAGTATTTTGTCATAAAATTGAGTTGAGAGTTTTGAAACTCATAGATAAAAACTCTGCTATTCTCTGTTTGTTTAGGTATATACTTGTAGGAAATGAATTAAAATGTGATTGATTTTAGATGTTTTAAGAAGTTGAAAAGGACTTGTTGAAATAAATAATGGGGAAAAGGACAAGTGACCAACTACTAACAATCACACAGGCCATTCCAAATTTGGGCTCCACCACTTTGACGACAAAAGCCCATTTATAGGGCGGCTCTTCTTCGGCCTTTAATCAACCACACATACACTCCTAAGTCCTAATGATTATTCAATATTTTTATATTTTTGAACAAATAATAGGCACTGTGATGTTGTCAACTTTCAGTTAGATAGACCCGCCGAAACTTTTTCTTATAATATTATATATTTCATTCTGTTTATGATAATTATACTCCCCTACTTAAACTGATGCTTCTTTATCTTCTTACGCCTTTCTTATTTAGCTGATGTGGTCGACATTTTCTTCTCCACAGGAGAAGTATTGTTTCTGAAAGTAATGTACCCAACACAGAACAATATTTATCATATATTATTGACCAAAAAACAGTGTAGAGATATACTCCAATAATGTTTTGGGTTGTTTAAATTATTAATATTAATTAAGTCAAAAAAAGCCGGCGCCAATGTGGGGAAAAAGCTTCACACACTTTGATGTAATCTGCCCTTTTGTTTATAGCTTTATGTATATTGCCCTCACTTTTGCTTGTTCATGGCTCGTATGATGCTGTGGTTCGTGAAACGTGATTCCATGCATTATCTTAATAGTATATGATAATATATTATCAAATGATCATTAATATCCCAATCCTACATTTTAAAATTATTCACATTTGAGTTAAAAAGTTGATAATAAATTTCAGACTTGAAGAAGAAATTATTAGAATATGGGCTTCTAACTCAAAATCAATTGACAATGAGTGAAGTGGCCCATATTCCTTATATATTACTTAGGATCCCTTTTAACTTCCGATGTGAGACATTATGTCCTAATAGAAATGAGCAACTCTTGGTACAAAAAAATAAGTTTTGCAACATATCATATGATTTAATTCGGAATTCTACATAAAAAGTAGAACAAATCGATAAGTTTATATATCAAATGAAATAGTAAGTAACTCTTTATTTGTCGTCCAACAAAGAATCGCTTTTGAATCAAGCTAGAGTAAAGGTGTTAGGTGTGTGGCTTAAGCACGAAGGTCACTTAACGCCGTCGTTTTAACGACGACTACGCCATTAATGCAGATGTGTGCGTGTGGATATATACATGCACACGTGTAGAAGGTGAAGGTACAAAATATGCATACGGCTTAAGGATAAGCGAGCATGGAAGGATATTTTGTAGCAGCATCTTTCTATTCTATGCAACTAAGTAAACGAACCACATGCACCTGTTTTCTTTATTTTATTGCTTTCATGAATCTTTTGTTGACAGCATTATTGTTTTAATGATAAAGTTACTCTAAATTAACAAATTAATATTGATTGGATGTGGATGACGATTTTTGCATATATTGCATCGTTTTAGCAAGAAATTGATCATTCTTCCATTTATACACTTTCGGTATCAGAATTGGTAGAAAAAAACATGAAAACTGTTGTGGAATAAACATCATTTAGATTTAATCGGCATAGTACAACAAGAATCACATACTAGTTAGTAGTTACAATAAATCATTAGTTAAATTAGACAAACTTAATTTTTCTTAATAACTAGTACTACTCTTATAACTTTTGTGCTTGTAATATCTGTCACTTTTAATAAATTTGGTACAGTTCGACTTAACATCCATATAAAATCGTTAACAATTATTAGGATACCAATAATAAAACGTTTAATATCTAATGGCGAATAAAAAAATTAATGCAAGTGGAAGAATATCTAAATACGTTAGTAGACCAATAGCAATTACAGTTGCAAGCTTACACGACAGGAGGAACAAGACAAGAGTAGTTTTGCCTTTGTTAAGAATAATGAGCATGACACGTCACTAAAACTTACACGTGGAAAGACGAGACATGTACACGTGGATATACTGCGAAACAGCTGTTAAATATTTGTCCGGTTATCGTAAGTTTTAGAATTTAAAAACTGTATTTAGCCGAATTAGGTCATGTTCCACGTGCCTTTTTCTCTGCACCACTATCTATTTTCCACAAGAGGAGCAATGATTTTTGGTCCAAAAATATACAGTTGTAATATTGGACGGTGTGTCTTAAATAAAATAATATATGGACGGTGTTTTCTTTAATGTTTTCATTGTTCGTATGAATTTCTCGGTGGTCATTTCAATCACAAAATGTATCATACCCGAATTTTTTTCTTTTCATTTCAATAATTGACGATGTACGTTGTGTATTTAAGTTTCGTAGATTTGTGTATGTTGTATAATTTTTTTTCTTTAAACGTATTCGGTTTTTTTTTTTTTTTTAAACGTATTCGTTTTACTATATGTTGTCATGTTTATTCAGTTACAAATAGCATATTATCGTTTATAAAACTTTTTTATGTAGTGATTTAATAGATACGAAAAATGATCGCAGTTAATATGTTTTTTAAATAGACGAAGATTAAATCTTCTTGGTATTTCCTATCTAGAGTGAGTAAGACATCGTCAATCAACCATCAACAACATCAATCAAAACCATCACTTATTGATCTATTTTTGGTTTAAGAAAACTTGTAATTGTAAAACAACTCCAAAAAAATATTTGTAAAACTAGCAGACCAAAACCGACAGTCGGACCATCGATCATAGAAACAACGAGCAAGGATTTAGTAATATACCGTTAAGTCTCACAAAAGAACACTTAAACCCAATATAATAATTACGCAAGGTACATCTAGAGCCTATCGTTCCCATCACAAATGATCTCTTAACATTGTTAATTATTTACAAATCCACTCAAAGTATTTAACTCGTGATTGGTAATATTTTTCAACCAATCGGCAAAAATGATACTCCCTCCGTTTCAAAATATAACGCGTTTTAGTTAAAAGCACGCCGATTAAGAAGATCTACTTTTTAAAAGTTCAGCCAATCATAAAAGAGACTGCATAATAAAAATAATCATAAAATATTAAAGTAATATATAATTTGCATAAAAACTTGAAAACGACTTATATTTTGAAACAAAAAAGTTTCTCCAAAACGCCTTATATTTTGAAACGGAGGGAGTATATAACTTAAAAAAGTATAAATTCAAATGTTTTGGGGCTTTTTGTCATGTTAATTTATTTTCTAGACATCTTATAAATGATTAAGAACTAACAGTAGTATTATAATTTTAATTAAAAAGAGAATTATGAACCCGTTGGAGGGGAGGTTAGGGAGGCGTGCATGAACATTACCTAACGTTTACCGACCTGACTCGTACCGTTCGTACCAGATCCAAAGAGCCTTTAAAAACCCCGCATTTTATGACCGACACGTGGCAGTTTTAAATGGATGACAGTTAGAGTTTTATTAATTGTTTTTTTGTTTGATCAACAAGTTTATACAGCCTGGCTGTTTAATTCATTTTTCCGATTAATAAAAAATTATTTCAGGAAATAAAGGCAGTGATGATTTTGCGTTCCAATTCGGCAACCTATATTGTCGTTTTCCGCCACGTCACAACCTCCTATCTTTTGTTAGCCGCACATTTTACATCACGTTTCTTAAACCGAACATTAATATCTAACCATTTTTATACATTCACCTAAATTTGCACACACGCTTCTGTTTCAAATCATCAAAATCCCATTTTAATCCAGTTTCGCTTCAAATTATTGAGGTTTAAGATCGTTTTTGATAATATAGCAGCTATATTTGATTTAATATTCTCATGCACAGTTCTACGTATGAATTATTAGGTGATTGTGTTTTGTCTGGTAATTAAATAACATATTTAAAATGACAATTTGATATTTTTTATTCAATTTGTGGTCAATAATTTTGATTAGTTTTCAACCCGGAAAATCGGTTATATGTAAAGTAGATATTATCATAAAGTTTTTATGTGAAGTGCTATACAGCCTGGCTTTGCTATTCTAAAGTCAGACTAACATTAAAAAAAAAAAAAAAAAACTGTCCTTACCCAAACCTAACCGTTATCATCTTTTTTTTCTTTTTCTTTCAGATATTTCTTTTTAATTTACATTGCATCTCAAAAAATTTAAATTCACCTCAAATTGTGCGAATATTATCATGGCTTTGCTAGTTGGGTTTCGTGATTTTGTCTCTTTAACTTCCCACTTTCCCTACGCGCTGCATAAGCGCGTGTTCTCGTAACCTTAGGCAGTGACGCTCGATTGATATCCACGCTCAACTGTACGAATTTGCTGATCTGAATAAAATAATTACGAAAACGACAAAAAAGACACATCGACGTAGGCAGGCTTTGACGCGTGTCCACTAACAGCTGTATCGCAAACTTTGAAAAACCGCTTGCGTGGAAGAAGCGTTGCCCATGACTTCTCCACCGTCTTAACCGGTTTCCGGTTATACACCTCTCTTAAATCCCTGTATAAATATTTTTGTCCTCTCTTTAGTTTCTCGAACTTGTTTTTGGTTCATCTCTCAAACCAAAATCACTAAAGTAGTTTTACGAAAATTATCAAAATCTCAAAAATCAATGGCTGATAGGATTAAAGGTCCATGGAGTCCTGAGGAAGACGAGCAGCTTCGTAGGCTTGTTGTTAAATACGGTCCGAGAAACTGGACGGTGATTAGCAAATCTATTCCCGGTAGATCGGGAAAATCGTGTCGTTTACGTTGGTGCAACCAGCTTTCGCCGCAAGTTGAG